AGCAAACAATGCGTTTCCAACTCTGAAATTTCTGCGCCTTGCTGGGTACCGTCTGTTGTACTGGGCTTCCATATCCGAATTCGTACTACGTATCGATGGGCGTTTTGGACCCATCAGACATAGGGTGGTTCTCAGTCTTCGACCCATGAGGGCTTCAGCAGGTGACTTCCCATCTGGTGCATTGGGATTCGGTGTTACTAGATAATTCAACAAACATCTTTCCAACCTTTCATCCAGCGTTCCCTCGCACTTCGACTTTAACATTGCACGTTTTATGGTGTGAACATAACTTTCTGCTTGTTCATTTGATTGGGGATGATACGGTGCAGTCCTCATGTATTGGATTCTATTGTGTGCGCAAGACTCAGCGAATTGATAGGATGTGAACTGTAATCCGTTATCCGATACGATTGTTTCCGGCAGACCGTACTGACTGAAAACACGCTTCAGCTCAAGGATCGTGCTGTTTGCGGATGTGTTTCACATCACCATAACTTCAGACCACTTACTGCATGCATCAACAAGTATAAGAACGTAAGTCCCCACAACTGGTCCTATAACACCTACATGTTTTCGCAACCAGGGTGATTCGGGATTCGGCCAATACTGCAATGTTGTCAGCACCGGTAACTTTAAAACGCTGCAGCACTTAGAACAGGATCGTCCAATATCTGCTATTTGGCCATCCATCATTGGCCAAAACACGTAACTACACGCAAGTAGTTTTATGCGGGCGATTCCTGGGTGGCCCTTATGCAAGTTCCTCAGCACGCGTTGCCTGAGTACTACGGGAATGACAAGGCGATCCGCGAAAAACTGACAAGCATCGACTTCGGACAAAGCGTCGCGTCGCATGAAAAACTGTACAAGTGATACGTCAAGGCATTGCTTTGACCATCCTTGTCTCGTATAAGTCAATACTTTCTGTAACAATGCGTCTTGGTTTGTGACGTGCTGAACCATTCTTGCGTTTACCGGTAAGGTACTCACGACATCGAGTGTCATGTGGCTGGTATCCGTGTCGGTTGTGATTGAAGCAATAACAGCGTCCTCAGGCTCACGTCGACTAACATCGATTAATCTAGACAGGGCGTCCGCTTGCCCAATAGAGTCAGTTGACGAATATCTCATGTTGAAATCGCATCCCAAGAGCAAGGCGGCCCATATCTGAAGTCGACTGGCCGTGTACGCCGGAATACCCTTTTTGGATTCAACGATAGAGAGTAAGGGTTTGTGATCCGTCACTAATGTGAAACGCCGGCCGTAAATCATTTTGTGGAATTTCTGAACAGCAAGGACAATAGCGAGAGTTTCTTTCTCGATTTGGATGTGGTTCTTCTCAGAGGTGGTCAAGTCTCGTGCCGCATGCGCCACAGCCTTTTCTGAACCGTCTGATAAGTAGTGGGAAATAGCTGCACCAATTCCATAGCTCGAAGCGTCTGTATCCAAGATGATATCCAGATTCGGATTGTAATGAATAAGCAATGGGTCTGATTTCAGCAGAGTGTTCAATTTCTCGAATACCTGTTGACACTGCCTGGACCATTTCCATTCGATATCTTTCATCAGCAGATGATTCAAGGGTTGGCGTAGACGATGCATAGCTGGCAGAAACTCGCTATAGTGACTCACCATTCCGAGGAACGATCTCAGAGTTGTGATATCCGTTGGTGTAGGCAGTCGGTCTATTACCTCAGTGTGCTCGGGGCGAGATGTAGGCCGCGTTCATTAATCACGAATCCAATGAACATAATGGATTTCAAGAAGCATTTGCATTTGTCTGTACCTAAACGGCATCTATAATCTTTGCTTCACTTCATTACGTCATCCAGTCGTTGAAATAATTCGTCATGTGTGGTGCCCATTATGGTGATGTCATCCAGATAGGCTGCAGCTCCAATTACACCACGCAACATGACATCCATGACTTGCTGAAAAAGTGCGGGTGCGGTTTTAACTCAAAATGGCAGATGATTGTATTGGAACAGACCACGATGAGTGTTGATCGTGAAAAGCTTTCTGTTTTCAGGTTCAACTTCTAGTTGTAAATAAGCATCCGCCAGATGCAAGATCACAAAATATTTACCACCATTCAGCCTCTCGAACAGGTCGTCAGGAAGTGGAAGTGGCTACTAATTGGGTTGCAATGCATCATTGAGACCAGTTGGAAAATCTGCACACAAGCGAATAGAATCGTTCGACTTCTTAATCCCGACTACTGGGGCAGCTCGTGGTGAGAAATTTATTGTCTGAATCACGCCAATTTACTGAAATCGGTTTGGCTCATGTTCAATAGGTACTTGTGATGTATACGAGACCGCGCGCTTGGGTCGAAACACTGGAGTAGCACCAGGTAACAGAGTACGATTTGCCTGCATCTTGCTACAATGTCCAAGTTCAGTTTGGAAAACACAAGCATACGTCGCCTGAAACTGTTCAGCAGTGGTTTGACTTGGATGAGGTGGTACGGCTGGATGATGCACCGTGACCTTCCTTTCAGAACACACATTATTCAGTGGTACATTGAGCAAATTCAATCTATCAATCCAATCAATGCCAAGAAGATTAAGGTCGACACAAGAAACAAAGTAGATGGTTCCAAGGATGCTCAGATCTTTGAATTTAATGTCACATGTGAACTCACCATCTAACCTCAGTGCTTCGCCGAATGAATTTTGGGCAGTCAGATTGGTGCGCCTCAGTGAAGGTTTGCGAAGTCTCGTCCATGATAATCGAGAAATGATGGTAATGTCCGATGCCGTATCTAGTTGCATGGATATAGGAACATCGTTAATTTTGACGGTGAGGTACTTTCGTTTGCCTGCAACTTCTGTGCGACAGGTCACGAGAATTACTTTTGTCTTTGCTCCCTGAAACGACGTCTTTTTGGATTTAGAGTTCGTGTACAAGTTTGGGGTAGACACAGGTCTGGAATCGTACAGTGTGATTCTTTGTGACCCAGACGTTTGCACTTCTGACAGAGATGCTTCCTGTAAGTACAGAATCGCACAAAATGCCATCCACCACAGTTCCCGGTGTGAGGTCGGGGGTTTCTGGTTGGATACTCTATGGCTCACAATTTACCCCGAACAGCCGTGCAATAAATCTGTGATTCATTCTTGGAGTCAGCATTTTCAATCATTGTAATATCATGCTTTAAGTTAATCAGTCTCTGACATTCAGCAACCATGTCCTGTAATGTCAAATGGGGTTCCTGCTCTAACTTTTGTAGGATGCGTGTGCGCACATCAGCATCGACATGAGACCGAGGACTGCAAACAAATATGAGACCTTTGTACTTATCAGGTGTTATCGCACCGAGTTTAAACGTTCACACTCTCGGTTCACAACTCGAGCATGTGTTATACAACCATGGCTATCACGTTTGAGCAACTTTAAACCACTATAACAGAAACTGAACAAAGATGCTTGCTCAACGCAAATGAACATCAGAGTTTTCACAGTCTCATCGAAGCGGAAATCCCTTGCATTTTTTGGCAGCACAAAGTTGGTATAGCCTTCATGCTCAACTGCACCAAGTTTACGCAACAACAACCGAACTTTCCACGCATCATCTTGCGCCGCCAACTCAACACGGGAAATATCTTCACATTCCTTGAACCATAAATCAAAAATTACTCCGTTTGATTCATCGAAGACGAACTCTGTGATTGCCGTCGTGACCGCGTCTACTGAAGACTGTGTGTCAGCAGCTTGGGACTCAGATTGAACGTCCAGCGTCTACGCAAATAACTCGAATATTTGCCTATGGGATTCCTCGAACTGGAGCTGCTGTTGATGGAGTAGCTGCTGCATCTGCACAAATGAACTGGCCATTATTGTCCAAAACCTTCGTCGTCAGAATCTGTTGTGTCCTCAGGGGTTAGGCTTAGCACCTTCTTAGATTGCGCCACGCGAATCAAAAGACAACTCAGCGGACGAGTAGTATATTGGCGAACACATAACAGGTGGTTGTGGGATGCAAACACACTGCTACATTTCAAATCACCGATGTGTGCTCGTTTGCTTTTACAGGTCTCAAAGGAACAAGGGACGTGTAAGTGGCTTGAAATAAGCCATAGCAACAAATGTTCTGCAACACGGAAAAACACTATCCCATTCCCCGGCCAAGTTGTCCTCTTGGGCATTCAACATGATTCTACTCAATTAATTTGTTCCGTGCGTACCCCACTCACTTGTGCAGGTGTGTAGGTGTGCGTATATAGCCCGTCACCTTCAGCCAATTGGACCTCAGACGCACTAAGTCATAGGGGTGCAGGTGGGACGCTTCAGCTCTTACCAGGGACAGTGTCGCTGGCCGAGGCACCCAGGTTGGCCTTTCTTTCTCTGTCCTAGGAGGCGATTCCCACCAATTAGAACGAGAGTAGTAACCTTTTCAGGTTACTCCTTTAACGTTTCCTAATCCACACACCGTCATGCTACGGGACTTCTCAAGCAATCACTTTTGTACCCGTTATAAATAATTGTTCATTGTTTATTGCAGCCATTTACATTCCACGCACCTGGTGATGTGCCAAAACCCACAACTCATCGGTCAACACCAATTTGCCACAACGATGTCACCAGTCACTGTGACTGTGATATGGCACCAGTAAATCTCAGTTTTGCGTATTCGTAACTGCACGCTTCCCTGCGAGCCAGTGAGAATATGACATTGTGGTCACCTTCCACTCTTGTCCACCTTAGTTTGGTGGCTTTCAATAGTTGTCTCACCGAAGGGGGTGGAGCATAGCGATACTATAGGAACATACTTATTAGCCGATAGAATATGTAATGTTCTCTAAATAACAAGCTTCCAGCAAGTGAAAAATGAACCTTTGTCCTCGTACCCATATTTTCACCAATTGCTGATTAAATGGTGAGAGGTCGGACCAATTGGCGTGGTTGACCTTGTCATGCTGAGGACCGTACTCGTAACTAAGCAACCACTCGGGACCACATCGTCATTAGGCAAGTGAATCCATTCACGTCAGCGGTGATCGAAACCGAACAGCGTACAAGACGGATATCACACTTCCATTACAAGTGAAATGTCCGGCAGAAAAACACAGAACGTGGTGTCCGCTCGAAAAACCAAGGAGTAAGCATTGGTTTGGTTGCACATTTAACAAACTCACATCCCGCTTCTCATAAACTGATCTAAAGCTCCCTCACCTCGCTCATACGGGTGCATGCTGGTGCACATCATCATGCTTCTACTGAGTCAATGACACCGTTTTCACTTCAATGTGTTACTCCGCCAGTTACTGGCCGATTTGTTTTACTTTAAGAAATAAGCTTAAATTTTTCCAGTAGAATCTGAGGTCAAAACTGATTAATCTCAACGGTTCTCCAACTCAGGTATTATGAACCCACCGGGAGTGGTGCCTAAGGCGAAAAGATGTGGCGTAGAAAGAAACTTATATGAAGCCGATTGTCTACAAGCCGGTTCCTTGAGCTCAGATGAACTTTGAGGATTTATTAACTCTCCACGTCTGCTAGCAGTGAAACGGATGTTCACGATAAATAAGATAGGCATTTCTGAATGTAATTCCAAAGTGCCACTTGTCAGTTCGCATTTCCTTGCGCAATAGTTGATACCCGGTTTGAAAAACACTTGGCAGTTACTGTATATTACCGAATATAAAACGGGGAATTTTGGACAATTTTTCATTTCTCAAAAGGGGCTCGGCTTATATCATGATCATGCGCGATTTGAAAAAGTCACCTGCAAAATTCACCAAGGAATTCACCGCCTACTTCTGCTCTTATCTCCCATTAGTACCACCCGCTAGTGACGGAAGGCATTCCAGATAGGGGTTTTAATTGCTTATAACTGGACAAGTTACTTTTGTGTCGAAAATTCACGATATATTACACATCTGACGTTTGCGACGGATGGTTAATGAATCCAAAGCAGTTAAACATTACGTTATGCCAGGCGATCCGGTACCTTAAAAGTACAACGTTGTCCCACACCCCTGACCGTGGACTTTGCTCTCACCCACTGCTCTACTCTGGTCCCCGACTATGCCAGGCGGCTTGTCTGGCACACCGGCTCACCTTACCCTATATTGTCGGCTGTTTTACCTCCTTCATGTGACTTGATGTCTGGTGAATAGATTCAGATTCAGATAGACTGGAACGATAGGAAAATCTCTTGAGTGTTCCTTCTTGAGCAGATCGTTGAGCCAGGAAATGATAAGGTGCTAGTTCTTGATAGATCTAAAACGAAACACCTGAAACACTCTGATCAACAAATTACTGCCCACGTTCCCTGCACTAGCAGTCCCCGCTGTGTAGGTTACGTGAAGTAAGAAAGAAGTAGAAAGTAAATGGAAGGTAAAGGGGAATGAAAGTCATTAAAATGAAGGATAACACCAAAGAGTGAAGATAATGACAGAATAAGAACTAAAAGTTTGAAGATGGATATGGTCAGGAGAAGGGAAAGGTTTCGTGTTGCCACCCAAAAGCGTCTAACTGACGCTCGAAACCCTTAACCGTAGGTTCACTGACTACACTTTCTGGAAGCGAGTTCCAGCGCTCGATATCTCTACATGATAACCAAATGTCTGCCCTGATCCCGTCATAACGCGGCTTGCGTAGCTTCATGGGATGACCGCAAAGACAAGGCAACCTAGCCGGGCTAAATAGCCAGCTCAATCCCGATCCAACCTTCCCTGTTAAAATGCGGTAAGTAAGGATTAGGTCTCCTTGAAGGCGTCGGTAGTGCATTGAATACATACCCAAGCTAAGTAGACGCTCGGGGTACGATTGCCCCCGTAACCCCTCGATCAATTTGGTACCTACTCTCAAAACCCTCTCGAACTCCATTTTGTCCCGAACAAGGCAGGGCGGGCAAGCCTGGACGCATTGTTCCAGATGGGGTCTGACGAAAGCTGAGAACGGCTTCACAAATATGTCGGCAGTTAAGACCCCGAAAGAACGGTGTATTAACCACAACATACTGAAACCCCCACTTGCGGCCTTCTTCCAGTTGTCACCAGAATGCAAAGACGAGGAATGGACGACGCCTAGGTCTACCTGGTTGGAGACAAGGGGGAGTTCGACCCCACCGAGTACGTAACTCGAAGGCGGGAAGGTTGCTCCTATACGAAGGACGGAACACTTAGCCTGATTTATGGCCAGTAGCCACAAAGTAGACCAGTCCCAGAGTCTGTGCAGTGCATGCTGTATGGCCTCAGAACCCCCAGGAACATTTACAACATTCCATAGCTTAAGGTCATCAGCAAACAATAGGGATGATACCCCAAGCTCTCCAGGGAGACCGTTTACGTAGATGGAGAACAGCATCGGTCCAAGGACCGAGCCCTGTGGGACACCGTTAAGGACCGCTTGCCTATCTACACACACACGTACACACTGCTCTCTTCCCTGCAAGAACGCAGATACCCAGTGAAGGGCGCGGCCAGATACGCCGTAGGACCTCAGCTTTTGTGATAACCTCAAGTGGGAAACCTTATCAAATGCTTTCGAGAAGTCTCCGAAAAGCACATCCACTACGTGGCCATTGTTCATTGCCTCGGCCCAAGCTTCATGAGCAACCAACAAATTTGTCAAAAACGAGAACCCCTTCCGGAATCCATGTTGTACATTACTGAGTAGACTAAATCTATTCAGGTGACGTTACAACGAATCTCTCACCAGCTTTTCAAGCAGTTTGACCACGACGCTAGTCAGACTAACTGGCCTATAATTGGCTGACAGACTCCTGTCGCCATTTTTGAAGATAGGACAGATGACAGCCTCCTTCCATTCAGAAGGTAATGTACAGCTCTCAAGTGACTTCTGAAACACCATCGTCAGCGGCCCACTTAGTTCCCCCGCCAACTCATGAAGAAGCTTCGGGTGAATTGAATCAGGTCCAGCTGCTTTGGAAGGGTTCAGTTCTTGCAGCAGTTTAAGGACTTGCGTTTCCACCACAGTAAACTCAGCTAAATAAGAACTCTCAGGTACTCTGGGGACAAGTTCAGGGCTAGTCAACGCGGCCTCAAGTACAAAAGCCCCTGCATACTGTTCCCCAAGTACACGAGCCTTATCTGAGACCGCATACGCACGAGTTCCATCGGCCCGCATCAAAGTTGGGATTACCGAAGTTGAACCACAGTGTCTCTTAACATAAGCGAAGAACTTCTTCGGATTTTCCGAAGCTCCATCAGCCAATTCCTTTCCGTACACCAGCCGAGCTTTCTTTAAGTGTCGTTTACACCTATTTCTAGCCTCGCGGTATCTATCATAGGTGCTAGTTGATGGAGCCGCACCTTAGATCCTCCAACATCTAGAACGCTTCTGGAGCAGGTACTTGTCAGTGGCATCTATCCACGGCGGCCGCGCTCGTGTTTCCTTTCTCCTCGCAAGCGGGATGTAGGGAGTAGACACTTCCGTGAGATAAGGTTTAAATTTATCCCAGGCCGCCTGAACCGTATCAACCACCGAGGTTTCGCAATGCAACCCAGAAGCCTTGATACGCATTGCCTGATAGTTAGTACGCCATATGTTTGGATATGGTGCAGCGATGCTCTGGTGACGCCTGGTCAGAGTACAGCTGAACGATAAACAAATATGATCACTAGCACCTAAGGGAGAGCCGTAAGTGATGTCCCCTACGAAGTCTAGTGACTTGGCAAACACTAGATCCAAAATAGACGGGAGTTGGGCGTCCATGTACCTAGTGGGGAGGTCCACGAACTGATGCAACGGTACTTGTAACGTAAGCTCAAGTAGATCTGCCCCGAATGTGCCTTCTGCCGAGTTGCAAGAAAGATCTGCCCAGCAAACTTCTGGTATATTGAAATCCCCCAGTATCAAACACACATGTGGTGAATGCACCAGACCTCGCGACATTCGATAGACTGCTAGACTTTCATCTTAGTGCTAAACGCTACACAACAGTGCGACCTCTTTCCTACTGTTGATTCACGCTCCACGTTGGAACATATTTGATTTTAATTTTCTTGTGCATTTTCCATCCTGTGGGCCTTGTAAAGTTTTCTCTTTAGCCCATCATACACTACTGAACTTCTCGAGGGATGTTCGAACAGCGAGGTCAGTGCTTTGCGCTGGATCTCGCCACCAATGTTAACGATTGAGGGTACGAGGGAATCTGGGCCAGCAGCACGAAAACGATTGATGGGTGTGATCGCGTTTCGGACCTCAGCCTCCAAAGGTGTCTCTAAACTAGCTGGCCATGGCTAATCCTGCAACATGTTAGTAAGAAGAGAGGTTCAAAAGCAGAGGGACAACTGAAATGCTCTTGAAAGTGTTGCGCCCTACGAGTCATACGGCGCTAATTTTTGTGAATCAGGGCATGCGCTGCCCCTGATTGTCTCATTAACGTATGGTTATTTGGGAACAGTGGTGCGGATCATTTAGAAGCGTATGCGTTAATTGCCTACTCCTACTGCTTCATCCATTCGATGAGCCCTAGTAGTCCAACAGGCTTCCTTGGCAACACGCAGGCGCTGTTTAACCCGTGCCCAATAGTCCATCTACTTACTAGAGCTCAGAGCCACCCTGGGGTTTTCTTTTGGATTCCAACAGGTTCGTCGTCCTATCGGATATCCAGTGACTGTTGCGGTGACAATTGATAGTGCCTCAAGCAGAGGCTTCCGCATCGTGCATCGCGGCCGAAATTCTATTGCATTAAAGCTCAGTGTCATTAGGACAAGAGAGCGAAAGTTTGGTATGCAGTGCATCCACGTAAGCTTGCCTGACCGAGGATTGAGAGAACTGCTCGTTTGTCAATCGAGAGAAGCACTTGATACTCCTCCCGATAAACTTCATGATCAAAGTCAAAGCAGGTGTTTAAAAACGAGCGGCAATCCAGGACGCAATCACGCCACCTATAAGTTATGGCAAGGTGATATATTTGAGTTCACCGCTGGCCAGCTATAGGGGGGGACGCCAACTGGTACTTGGCGCCCAATGCATCTGAAACCGGTGCCAATAAGTAACAGCTGATGCTCCGTACACAGTTGCAACAAAAGCTCGCAGTTGTCCGTACGATTGGAGTTAAGTCCATAATGGCCACGTAGCTGAGCTTCTGAAGAGCTCAGACGACCTGATTGCACATTCATATCT